ATTTTGACAGAAGTCCTGGGTCTTTTAACAGTCACCTCTCCCCAGCTTTCTGCATAAAATTCTCAGGTTCTAATTAAGTGCAGTCCCATTCAAGATACACCCATTTAAGGTCTCAAGAATTCAACTTTGCAAGGAGTTTCACTTACCACTTCTGCTTCATTTCCTACTTCTGCTTACAAGGCATTTCCTTTTCTCACACCTCCAGAGACGATGAGTGACTGGAGATGAGGGTCACCCTGCGTAGCTCTGAGAGGGAGTATTTGGCACTTATGTATCAGGACATCCTCTGAGCATCCCTGGCCTGGTTGCTTCTACAAGTGAGAATCTCCTGCACTGTTTGCACTGTTGACATTGATTGGAAGAGGGGGGCACCTTTTTTGCATTCAAGGCTTAATTACATAAACATTGATATCACGTGCCCTAGGTAAACTTTTTGGAAAGTTTTGCAAAGTGTAGAGTAGCCTATCATACTAGACAGTAATTAATAAAGGGAAATTCCTTGTTATCGTGTGTTATGATTAATAATCAACACTGAAGGATTTGTGCCTGTTTTCGTAGGAATCCACATTGTTTCTTGCATAAACGCCTGCTATTTGAGGCATAATATAGGAATCCCGTAAAAATTTCTTCCACTGAAATAAGTGTCATTGTGTTTTTATAAAGTGAGAGAATACAGTCCTTGGGCACTCGTTTGAGTATTTTAACAGATGCAAAAGCAATTGCGTGTGGGAGGGAAGTGTTGGCGGCACCACTTGACATCCTTCAATTTCACATTAATGAAAGAACAGAAATAAAGAATGATTTAAATGTTCACACAAAAAAAAAGTCACTTCTGCAGGATCTGTGTATCATGCTGGGGTGCCCACAGTCTTCAAACTTTCCTTCAGCTGCTCCTCCCTTAAACAAAGGAAGCCGCTCTTGGAAGTCGAAGGTGTAAGAAAAGAGACCAAAGTCACTGTGGCCAAGGGACCAGGAGCAGGACTGGACCCTCCCGGTTAACTCTCTGCTCCTGCAGAAGGCCCACAGACCCCCGGCGCTCAACCATACATCACCATGAAACCGATTCCCGGAATGGAAGGAGCCCAGAAGAGACTCACAAGGTCCTGGACACAAATCTTAGCTCTGCTGTTTACCAGCATGAGAGCTGGGGTGGCAAAAATAAAGTCAATCTGAGTATCAACCAACCAAAGACTAACTTAGACCAACTAAGCACTGTTCTAAGCACCTTCTTTCCCTTAATTTAATCTTCCCAACAATAGAAGATGGGTACTATTATTACCACTGATTTATATCTGAGGAAACTGAGGCTCAGAGCAATTTGCCCAAAGATCCCACAGCTGGTAGTCAGTAGCTAAGCAGGGATTCAAACCCCAACAGTCTAACTCTGCAGTCCACATTAATAACCACAAAAACCCCTCAGATCTTTGGCCCCATTTGGGCCAGCCAATTTGAAAATGAAGATGTTATTAATAATCTGGAGCAAAAGTATCCCATACATAATTCAATAATTATCATTCTTTTCATCGCAAACAGCAGAGAACATATGCCCTCCAGACACACACTAATAACCTCAGTGTTGAATTATCTGCCAGATAGCTCCTGTCAAACGTCTGTGTGAGCCAATTACTGCTTAAGAGATGGTTCACAGGATGCGCCAACCCCTGGAGCCTTCAGAAAAATTAGCGAGTTGTTATTCCAAAAGAATCAGCCAAACAAAGGCATGAGTGGAGAAAATAATCCACAAGGTTCAGTCCACAGCCAGATAGAGGACAGGTACAGAGACCAATAGCCGCCTCCTCATCGATGTAAAGGGGAGCTTACTCACAAAAGTAAATAAAATCCAAAGCGACAAATACCTGATGCACCTATTCTGTGCTGCACACCAAGAGGCGCTAGAGATGGAGCTGCAAAGCCTTCGCTGTCAGAGCTGCCATTCTGGTGCAGGAGGCAGATCATAAACAAAGAGACAAATATGCACATCATAGGTCAGCTGGTGGGAAGTGCTATGAAGAAATAAAACCAGGACACAAGGATGGGGTTTGTGAAGCAGGGATGCTGTATTAGAGGGCGTCAGGGAAGGCCTCTACCATGGTGACATTTCAGCAGAGATCTGACCTGAGTGCACTCGGAGGAGAACATCCCAACAGAGAGGACAGCAGGCACAAAGGCCCTGAGACACCAGTGCTTCAGTGAATGAGCCAGGGGATGTGGTGGGAGGTGCAGTCCCAAAGGCAGCCCGAGGCCAAATCACATATGGCACTACTGGTCATGATGGGGACTTTGGTTTTTTCCTTTGTTTCTAAGTTTTTAAAAATACCTTTATTATAGTATGATTCCTATACAGTAAACTACACATATTTCAGATATATAATTTGATGAATTTTAATAGATGTAGACACCAATGAAACCACCACCACAATCAAGATAGCTAACATTTCCATCACTCCCCAAGAGGTGCAGTTTTCCAACTCCCAACTTATCCCTTCTCACCTCCTCTACCCCTTGGTAACCATAAGTTTGTTCTCTCTGTCTATGAGTCTGCTTCTGTTTTGTAGGTAAGTTCATTTGTGTCCCTTTTTTAGATTCTACCTATAAGTGATCTCATATGGTATTTTTCTCTCTCTTTCTAGCTTACTTCACTTAGAATGACAACCCCCAGGTCCATCCATGTTACTGCAAATGGCATTATTTTATTCCTTTTTATGGCTGAGTAGTATTCCATTGTATATCTATACCACATCTTCTTTATCTAGTAAGACAGGGGACTTTGGATTTTCATCCTGAGACGAGAAGCCACTGAAGAGTTTTGGAGGGGAAAGAGTGATGTGATTTGATTTACGTTTTCGGGATTACTCTGCTGCTTTGTGGAAGATGGTGAGAAGGGGGCAAGCGCAGAGCAGAGACCACTCAGAAGACTATGTGTTCATCTTGGAGACCGGGCTGAGTCTAGGAGGCAAACACAAGCCTTAGACAATGAAAACCACAAAACCCAAATGGACGAAGGGCCTGAATACATGAGAACTCGGCTGCAGCCCTAGAGAAGACTTAGTGTGGTATAAAGACTTTTTTGTTCCTCAGTGATTTATCAAGAGCTAACATGTTATAGCGCTTGCTACGTGTCAGGCTCTCTTCTAAGCACCTTACATGCATAAGCACAGCAACCCTCTTAGATGAGCACTAGCATCATCCCCACTTTAAATATGGAGAAACTGAGGCATGGATCATGCAGGTGGCTTGCTGTAGATCTGGGATTTTAACCGAGCAGGCTGGCTACAGGTGTTCCTCCTACCAACCCACAAAGAACACCTGGGAATGTCTTAGACTGACTCTCTGCAAAACTCTCAGGCCTGTTTCAGAGAAGCCTGGGAAGCCTTTCCAGAAGGAACCCCCCAGGGTGGAGGCCTAAGGAAATGAAGGAGGAGAAAGCATGTCATGCTGGAAGGGAAGAAGGATGGTGCCCCAGGTCCTACACAACCCACACCAGGGCCCCGCCCTCCACAACCATCACAGATCCCAGACCACGGCAAGTATCCCCCACCTCCACCCTCGAGCTACCAGATGAGCAGTCCTTTCTCACCGACAGAGGGGATTTTGCCAGAGGCTCTGTCATTTCAGGAAGGCTTGTGTGGGGAAATTAGGAGGTAGGAAGAGAAACTAACCCCACACAAGGCTGCCCATTCACCCATCACAGCCATCCAAGAGCCCTGCACACCTCCAGGGGCTCCTCTTTGCTCCCTGGCTGGGGGCTCAGCAGTGCTGACAACATTTGCTGGTCTGAGAGTCTAACCCTATCACTCTGATCTCAATGTACCTGAGGCGCTGGAAGTTTCCAGGTGAGATTCTGAACAAGAATTGCTAGGAAACCCACACTCTTGACTGTTTCCTCTCATTTGGGCTTCAGGGACTCTAACCTACAGGAGAGCATCCCAAACTATGGCACCTCTGAAAAGTGGGGTGTTAGTCACCACCTCTCAAGGGCCCTTCTCTCCACTGAGAAATTACGAGCCTGAGAGATGACAGCTGGAATATGTGACAGGGCCACCAAAACATGAAGAATCTTTAAGACACAGCACATCTTCGCCCTACGCACAAAGCCCCAGAACCCTCGGTGCACAGGAGGTATCTTTGCAGAACGGAAGGAAAGGCAAAGGGGCAACATCAGATGCCCCATGCACGTCCTGGGTCTCACCACACTCAGCCCAAACTTCCCCCCTCCAGCCATCGCTCCCCACAACGAGGAGCAAAGCCCCAAAGAAGCACGTTCAGGCAGCAAACAAGGCCTCTGACCTACATCAGGGAGGGCAGAGAGAAGACCTGGGACCTCTGGGGAAAAGATTTCCAACAATAGGCTTGTTCTAACTAATACGGGCTTCAGCGGCCCCCTTCAGGGAGCTCATCAGCCTGAACAGCCCGCTGGCAGCCTTTTCCCTTAACAGTTTTCTGGACCTTTTCTCGAGAATGTTCCTCACTGGCTAACGCAAACATGAAGCCAAACAGCTGCAATGGATAAAAAGAACAATACGGCAGAAAGAGCGTTCGTCAGGTGATTAGGTGAATCGATGCAAACCTGCCTCCTGACTCCCTAACATACTGGAGTCTGGCTGGGAAAGGGAGCTGCCACCTGCAGTAGGCGGCAGAGTCTGCAAGATTTCAAGCTTCAGCTCGACTGCAACGAGCCATGATGTGCTCTGAACATTTTACGACAAAATCAATCTGACTGAGCCCAAACTGCCTTGCAGCCAGGACCCAAACTGTGACACAGTCATACACATGCTAATATCTGGTGCATCCCTAGTCTCAACAGAGACCTAGACTCATGCCAGATATCAGAATCCAAGTTTGTACCATTCAAAAAGGTGGCACACACAGTAAACTAAAAGAAACCCAATGGGGGGGCTTCTCTCTGCACTGAAAAAAAAGAAAGAAAGAAATGTCCAGTGAGAGGAAGCCGTTTCTCAGGGCAGAGGACCAGCCATCAGTCATCAGGACCCTGACCGTACCTGCTATGATCCCGTCCATCTGCTCCAGGGCAGCTTCCAGCGCGTGACTTGCATCAGAAGCCATGACTCCTGCTTCCTGCTCAGGCTCCTCCTCTCCTACTGAAAATTCAAATATAGAACAAAGGAAAAATTACTGAGAGTTCCATGTTACATGCCCACCAAATCCTCTTGCTCCACCACCGCACAGCACGCTCACGGGCATCCTAGATTTCTGACATGCAGTTTCTACCACCATTGATGGCCTCTACCTCTTGGCACCAGTGCTGTTCCTCCGTGAATCTTCAGCATGTGGTCCCATTTGCTTCTGTCATGAAAAGCCACTAAGGCTCTCCAGAGTCCCCTGCAGCAGCGAAACAGTGATCGCCTCTCCTACCATCACTGTGGTCCCAGGCTCCAGAAGCTCCAGCCGCCCTGGAGAAGGCTCAAGGCTCCCCCCGTGTCAGGGAGAGCACACAGATGGCGGGGACTCCATCAGGACGTGCCCTGCAGCCGTGAGTCACAGCAGGTATTAGCCATCTTATATCTGCATTTGTCCGCATCTAGGATGCTCTCCTTGGGAGGCTGTGAACCAGACTTCAACTGCCATTTTCACATTTCAAGTGAGCCAATGCGCCCTGTCTAGGAAGGCTACGGGCACACTGTCGTGGGGGAAGTACCATGCCAGGAGCCTGGGGCACTGTCTCTTACCATTTTAGTTCTGTTCTACCCAGCACCATTCAAGGTGCAGAAGGCCATCTTCTCAGGGCTGGAGAATTTCTCCAAAAATACAGCCTAGCCACCGCTCCCCTAAGGCTGAGTCTCCTCTCTAGTGGGAAGGATGGCAATTGGTTCCATCTCTAGATAACTCTGCCTCTTAGAAAGGTCTTTACACTAAACTGTCGTCTTTGCAGCCGCTTCTCATTTTTCTTGCTTCCCACCCCCTCCCTGGTAGCAGGGAGAGACTTACAACAGCATCAGTAATCCTAAGAAGAGACTTAGGTCACACCTGTGAATGGAAGGCAGGTGCTGTTGTCTGCTCATTCAGCAAAGCCCATGCCTGTGCACAATGGGCCTAAGTGCTGCAGAGAACAGAGACAGGGCTCCCACATTCCAAGGGGGCACAGCTCAGGGAACAGGACGTTCTGTTGCTCATTTTCCCCATGAAGTCAGATCTCTGGCAAGAAGAGAGGAAAGTAAGCCACCACAGGAAAGTGGAGAAGAATGTTAGGACCCCAAAGAACCACACTGGACAGTACCAGGCAGGAGCAATTCAACACCCTGGGTTCAAAGCCAGCTCTGCCATTTTCTGTATGATCTCTGAGCCTCAGTGTTCTCATCTGAAAAATGGGGATGATAATAGCACCTAACCCACAGGGTTGACATCTTGATTAAATGAGTAATCAATATTTCACAGAAAATTTCATATTGTATGTCTTAAGTGCTCGGTGTACATTAGCTTTTTTTCTTTTGTTTTGCAGGGTGGGTGGGTGGTGGTAATTAGGTTTAATTATTTATTTTAACAGAGTTACCAGGGATTGAACCCAGAACCTACAGTGCTAAGCATGCACTCTGCCACTGAGCTATACCCTCCCCAGCTACGTTAGCTTTTTTTTTTAAAGTGAGGAGATAATCTCAGGATACATCTGTGCCAGGACAGCTCACTGGATTAGGAACTTTAACCGAAAATGGGGTAGGCTCAGGGAGGGAGAACCCAGGTAGATCCAAGGGTCTGGTCCTTTGGAAGAGGTAGGCACGGCAAAGAAAGATAAGCCACTATGCATGTGGCGAGGGAGGGCAGTGACTCATTGGTACAAAGGCCAAGGGGTCAGAAAGGAACACTGAGCATTGGCAGTTGGAGAACCACCACATAGTCAGCTCAGAGGAGTGTGGACAGGAGCTTGCGGAGGGGGCTGGAGCCCCACTGGCACCTCGGGGCTGTGGCAGGAGCCAGACAGGGCTGCAGCAAGAACAGAGCACATGCCAGAGCAAATCTGGGTGCAGATCTCAGGGTGTGAATGGGAGCAATGCTGGGGGCAGGGCGGGGTAGAGGCAGCAGAAACAGGGCAAGATTCGGCACACTCACACCTATTCGGCCATAAGGGATAGTAAAAGTTTAAAGAACTACTTCCCTCTGAGGAAGTTCCCAACTGCTCCCAGGGAAAAAAAAATTCAAAATCTGTACTGTGACGGAAGGAAGCAGCCGGCAGGATCCAGGCTCTGCCGACCTGACGTGGCCCTCCCATGGCTCCCCATGCTCCGGCGGCCATGGTCCCTGCACAACACCCAGCACTCCAAGTCAACTGAAAAAAGTTGAGTTGTATTTTATTCGGAGGACTTTCTGAGGACTCAAGCCCAGGACATAGCCTCTCAGATCGCTCTAAGAGATTGTTCTGCCCAGGCAAGAGTGGGACCAGAATATATAGGAGTTTTTGCAACAAAGACAAGGGTCAGAACATCAGATTACAGTTAATTAAAGAAAACCAGATATCTCAAGTTGAGGAATTTAGCGCTTCTCTATGTATGGGAAGGTGCAAAGGTCTGAGCTCACTGAAGTCATTCCTTTGATGTGCACCTTAGCTATCTAAGGCCAGTATCCTGAGCTCGCACATCCTGAGTTCCCTCAGGGTGCACGGTCGGGGGCAGTCGCAGAGGCTGGACTGCCTGCTTGTCTGCATCCTGAGTTCCCTTCATTCACTGTCAGGGGGTGGAGGTAACAGCTGATGACTTGACTGTCACAGCATCCTTTGTTTACTGATATGGGTGGTAATGTTTTTCATTCACACCCTTTGCCGACCCTCTGCCCTGAGCTCACTTCCCCAGCTCCCTACACAGCTGATCCTCATCCTTCAGCCAGCAGCAACCAAGTCTCTTCTCAGAGACGCCTTCCTTGCATGCCCCTAATTCAACCCCTTTGTAGCACAGTGGCTCCAAATTCTAGTCCATCTGTTTCCTTGCTAACTGGCCTTGCTCACCCTCACTGTGGAGGCAGGTGGGCCCCCATCTGCCTCACTCACCCCTAAGTGCCCCGTGACAGCAGAGTGGCACAAGGAAGTTTATGAGTAAATACTGTGAATCAATGGATGGATCTATGTGGCCAGCATTGCCTGAACTGCTGTGCACTGGGGGGATACTGACAAATCAGACCTAGTCCCTGCCCCACGGACCATGCAGTCTGGTGGAGAGGACAGAAGTATGACCAAATAATTATGACCCAGTGTGAGACATCCTGAGAGAGGCAGGGAGGCAGTTTCCCTGGGTCTTGAAGGATGGGTAGGCACTTTCTCAGAAGATAAGGGTGATTCCAGGCCAAGGGGGCAGTGCGTGGAAGGCAGGGGAGCATGTCAGGACAGGATGTCGTTGGCAAACGTCAAAATGGTTGATGAGATTATACAGGAGCACCCAGCTGCTCCCCGTGAGTCAGAACCCTCCACGGAATTCACAACACCTCCACAAGGGCAATTAAGGAGGGGCGCTTGGGAATCACACCCACATCAGGGGTCTGGATGTCCGTGCACCACCACTCAAGTGGCCTCAGATGTCAACATGATCGAGATTTTTAAAAAGGAAGATCTCATGTCAGCCTAGCTGGGGCCTTAGTACTGGGGTGAAAGGTGAGAGGGCAGTTAGCAGGTGCTGAGCCCACGGGGCCCAGTGATGTCCCCCTGCCACAAAAGGGCCCTAACAGTGAACCGTGGGCCCTCTGCCCAGGGATGAGTTGGTACTTGGCAAAGAGCAAACTGGGTGGACCCGTGGGAGCTGGCGAGAAGTGAAATGTGAGTCAAGGGTGTAGTATATTCACAGCCCAGGACCTGGGCCGTCAAGACTGGGAGCCCTTGGGAGCCAGAACCTGCTAGGGGCAGCTGATGAGCTCAGTGCTGGGTCTGCGGTGACGGCAGGACGCAGTGAGAAAGGGCTCTGCCGGCCTCTGGTGCCAGGCGGCTGTGAGGGGTCACTGGTGTCGGGGACAGAGGGGACCGCTGAAGGGCCAAATATACCATAGAAGCGACGCCTCCAGCCCCATCAATGAACACGGACACTCTGATGGAACAGGGAAGCCACGAGGTCACCAACCACTGCTATCTTGGCAGCTACAATCATTTTCTTCCCTCCCCAGGTGGGAGCTCCCCGTAAGGAAGGCACCCTGGGACAATCCCTGCTCTCGAGGACCTTGGGGTCTCAGAGGCCAAGGTGTCACCCAGTTGCATTCAGTGCTCTGTGTCTTCCATGTCTGTTCACCCCTACAGAGTCACGCACCACTCTCAGGAGCGTGGGTTCATTGGGGATGTGAGGAGAAACAAGGTGACGAGGCCAGAGGGCACATCTGGAAGAGGCAGTAACCCAAAGGGCTGGGAGAGAGGAGAATCCGGGTCTAAACTCCAAAGGGGCCCCATGAAAGGCAGAACGACCTCTAGGCAGGTGGTGGGGAGTGGAAGTGAAATCATCTTCTCCACCCATGAGAGGGGAGCTCCAGCGACCACCCAGGGGCCTGTCAGCAGAGGAACTGACATTGTGCCCTGGGAGCTCTAAGGAGGGGCGCCCCACCAGCCCAGGAAGGAGAGGAGCAGGCAAAGGAGGACATGGTGTCCTTAATGTGTTCAGTCCAGTGACAGCCGCCATATCAGCCAAAAGCAGTTTCCCTGCTCTGGACACTTGGACCATTAACAGAGCCCTACATTTGACACGGACGGGCAAGCAGCCTTCTCATACCAAGGAACTGGCTCATCCTGAGCTACAGAGATAAGGAAGGGAATGTTGTGTAAGAAAAGAAAAGGTGCGGTCCACCCGTCATGCAACCCTCCCCTCCCCAACAGGCCTCTCGAGATGCTGTCATCTTCCTCCCCATGATGGTGCCTGATGCTGGGCTCCCCTAGGACAAGACTTGACCCTCCTCTTTGCTACCAGCCAGGAAGAAAACAACCCTGCAGCTGGGAGACCAGCCAGTGAGGAAGGAACTGCCATGTGTGAAAATGACAGTGTCTGGTGACAGCTGTCAGAGCCACATGATCTGCGCCACACAAAGGCCGGTTTGGCACCTCCAAGTTAAATAGGGTGCAGGGTTAGGTGAAGTTTAGAGGGTGAGCCACAATTAGCTGCCCACCACCTGGGGCACTCCAAGGCAG